AAAAGCGAATATATATGCAGATTGATAGTAAACAGATATATGAACCTATGCATCTATGTATATACGCATGCATGTAAATATACATGTATGTTTATGAATTGCAAAACTCCACAAAATGACAGAAAAAAAAAGAATATACAAAATATTTATTGTCGAATTCAAAAAAAAAAAAAAAATCCTTTTCTCTATATTAATGTTTTCTGCCATCGCATATTTTAATGTAAACTCAGAAAGGGTAATAAATGAATAAGTAAACTGGTTAATAATCAAATAAGCAAAACGAATTATAAATAGATAGACAATACATTGACAAAATAGATATATGATACATATGTATAAGTGTTTGCGTGTATGTGTATGTGTGTGTGTGTGTGTGTGTGTGTGTGTGTGTGTGTGTGTGTGTGTGTGTGTGTGTGTGTGTGTGTGTGTGTGTGTGTGTGTGTCTGCGTGTGTGCGTGCGCGCGTATGCGTGTGCGTATTTATGCATATTCGATAATGAATATGGAATGGAAAATAAAAAAAGACGTAAATTATTGACTTCACCATAAGGACAGCACTCGCTACTTAAAAGAAAGAAAGAAAGAAAAAAAGAAAGAAATGATAAGCCCTTCTCCTCCAGTCACTTTCCCTTCCAACCGATTCGTCAAGAAAGTCATGTTCAGTCTCGCTTCCTCAGTCTTGCCTTCCTTTGTAAACTCTTCCTCCTCACCGTTTCCCTGTTTCTGCCTCTCTCGCTCTCTCTAACTATCTATCGGTCTGTCTCCCTCTCTCTCTCTCACTCTCTCGCTCTCTTGTTCTCTTGTTCTTTCTCTCCCTCCCTCTCCCACTCACCCTCCCTCTTTCTCTCCCTTCCATCCTCCCTCCCTTCCTCGCCCCCTCTTCCCCTCTCCTTCCCTCCCTCCATCTCCCACTCACCCTCCCTCCTTCCCTTCCTTTCTCTCCCACTCTCCCTCCCTCTCTCCCCCCCCCTCCCCCCCTCCCTCTCCCTCCCTCGCTCTCCGATCCATCCTCCCTCCTTCCCTCCCTCTCTCTCTCCCTCCCCCACTCACCCTCCTAACTCGAAATCCCACACCCGCACCATCTTCCTCACTGGGTTTATATCCCCACCTGTTTCACCCAAGCACCCATCCCCAGTAGCCTCAGTTCGCATGATGTATGAAGCATTATCAACAATTTACAAAGCGAAGTTCCCGTATTTCAAACAGCTTTAGTCTCCCTCCTGCAGGCCCCCCCCACCCCCACCCCCCCATCACCCTCACCCCCCCGGAAAGAGAGGGGAAAAAAAGGGTAAAAAAAAAAAAAGAAAAAGAAATCACTACGCGCCGGCACATGTGACCTAGAGGCGCTGAACAGGCCTAGCAACAGAGCCAAGGTTACGTGGAGGACGAGTTTTAAGTTAAATTTGAGAAGAAAAAAGAGAGAAAAAAAAAAAAAAATTAAGAGGGGCGGGGAGGTGGTGGGGGAGGGGGGATGAATGAACTATATATTTATATATGTATTTCTCCCTCTTTTATTCAGGGAGATATATCTACTTTGAATCGTTTGTCAAAGCGTCGATTTAACAGAGGGTCGTCATGTTCCGATATTTACGGGTTGCGTTAATGATTTTCTTTCATACGATTTAACGATGCCATGAATACGCGACACAGTCAATATCCAGTTGGCAATCCAAAAAAGAAAATGAAACGGAATATATTTAGTAACAGCTAACGATATATATATACCTAAAAAACACGCCCAATTTAGAATGACACGATATTTCTCATTCTATTTATATGACCCTGAGCTATGGCCGTCACTGGGGCGCGCAGACTGGGCTCTGTGCAGGAGGAAAGCGGTGGAAAGTATTTTGCTTTCTGTTTATTTTCCTTTCTTTAAATGTAGTCTCTGTTATGAAGGTATTCTTGAAGTTATCTATGCTGTATCTTATGACGCATGGAAGGATATGTTATCTTTTTAATGTTTACAGTTTGCTTTGATTTATTTCCGCTCTCAGGCCATTCATTCATTCATTCATTCATTCTCTCTCTCTGTCTTTCTCTCTTTCTCTTTCTCTCTTACTTTCTTTCTCTCTTTCTCTCCCCCCCCATCTCTTTTCCCCTCCTCTCTCTCTCTCTTTCTCTCTCCATTTTATTGTCTGTTTCCTTTTCTACTATTATCTCAATTAATCAAATTCACATCTCTGTTCATTATAACCTATCTTACGTATTTTAACCCAATCCACATCCGTTCTCTCATTTCGTCCCCGTTTTTTTTAACAAAACCGCAAAAAAAAAAAAAAAAAAAAAAATGCATTGGAATTAACCACGAGAGTATTCGTTATCTAAGACGCTTTTTGCTTAATTAATTTCCGTGCCGGCGATCACACGCTAATACCATTTTTTTTTTTTTTGAATTATATACTTTGTCGCCATCACTCCCTTTTGGCTTTGACATGGCCCCGTGTTGACAATAATCATCCCGTTACTGAGATAACTGGGTTTTTGATGCTACTCATAAGGCTGCTTTTAATCTTACTGCTGGCGAGGATGCTGTTCGCGTCTGTGAGCTTGCTACTGCCGTTGCTGCTGCTGCTGAAGTTACTGCTACCGAAGCTGCTGTTATTGACACTGCTGTTGCTAAATTCTGGTTCTTCTCCTGCTAATACGTCTGTGACTACTGTTGCAAAGATCCTCAGGACCCCCCCCCCCCTCCTCTCATCCCCACCTCATGGGCGAACCTGACTTATTTCAAAATTGTTATGAAGCCACACAGGATGATATCAGGACCTAATATTTTGTAATATGCCCCCCCCCCCCAAGAAAAAAAGGAAAAGAAAAGAGTATTCAGCACAAATTGAATCCAGCTGATGCCGACACAGTACTCCAACACGATAAGCTTCTATTTTTTTTTCTGAGGTGTAAAAGTTTGCTTCACACACACACACACATACTTACACAAACGCACATACGCACGCGCACACATACATATACCTATACCTATACAGACACACACGCATACATACATACATACATACATACATACATACATATATACACACACATACACACATACACATGCAGTACATATTATTTAGAAATGGTCTTATTTTTTATTTTATAAAATGAAAATACTCAAAGTAAACAAAACAAAACAAAAAAAAAATCACCAATCGCCTTAGTCTTGCAAGAATATCATGTAACACACGAAACTAATGTAATGTAAGCCTATTGAGAAAATAACTAGTGCCAGGCAGAACAAAGGGGTTGGGAGCAAAAAACCAAAATGATTCCTATATTTAATACTGCTGTTGCTATTGCTACTGAAGCTGCAACTCTTACTACTGCTGCAACTGCTCTTGCTGCTACTACTGAATAACGAGGGTAATGGTCATAACAATGACAATGGGAATGGTAATGGTAATGGTAATAATGATAATAACATCAACAATACTGCTACTGCCACTACTACTACTACTACTTATACTACTACTAGCGCTGCTTTTTCTACTACTATTTATACGACTAGTAATCCACGTACTATTACTTTTACTCCTACTTATACTACTACTACTACTACTACTACTACTACTAGTACTAGTAGTTGTAGTAGTAGTAGTAGTAGTAGTAGTAGTAGTTCTGTTCCTACTTATACTACTAGTAGTAGTAGTACTAGTAGTAGTACTAGTATTAGTAGTAGTTCTGCTCCTACTTATACTAGTAGTAGTAGTAGTAGTAATAGTTCTGTTCCTACTTATACTACTACTACTACCACCATTACTACTATTTCCCTTACTACAACAAATGTCATAAACAAAATCAAACGATGAACAACAAACAAGCACTTCTTAACAAGGAAGGAACGAAATGATTTTCTCTATCTGTTCTTAAAGGCAATTAAGGGCAATTAATTACTCCCGTTGATTTAGTTGCTTCATTAGCAGCCACAAGTAGGGTGTAGGAAGCAATGACAGCTGTAGTACGTCGGGATGAACGCTCTGTCTGTCCTGGGAGAGGGAGGGAGAGGGAGGGAGATGGAGGGAGAGAGAGGGAGGGAGGGAGAGGGAGGGAAGGAGGGAAGGGGAGGGAGGGAAGGAGGGAAGGGGAGGGAGGGAGAGGGAGGGAGAGGGAGGGAGGGAAGGGGGAGAGGGAGGGAAGGGGGAGAGGGAGGGAAGGAGAAGGAAGGAGGGAGGGAGAGAAAAGGAAGGAAGGAGGGAGAGAGAAAGACGGAGGGAGGGAGAGAGAAGGACGGAGGGAGGGAGAGAGAAGGAAGGAGGGAGGGAGAGAGAAGGAAGGAGGGAGGGAGAGAGAAGGGAGGAGGGAGGGAGAGAGAAGGGGGAGTGTGAAGCATGGGATCGTGCGAAGAGAAATCAGGAATATGTGCGAAGCAAAGGAAGGGCATAAAAAGGCGAAAGGGGAAGAGAGCGAAAAAGTAAAGGGAAGATTGGGGGAAGCCAGAAGCAAATGACAGGCATGAAATATACCGATAAATAAACGAGCAAAAGGGAGAATTAAGATATAGACAGAGTATAGATACATTATATATATATATATATATATATATATATATATATATATATATATATATATATATATATATATATATATACATATATATATATATATATATATTTAAGAATTAACATTAACAACACCACTAGCAGCACCCACCAACATTATCGAAATCTCTCATATTAAACAAACAGACACGAATCACTACCAAAAATATTAGATAATCACATTAACAACACCAACAGCATCACCCCCACCCCCACCCCCACCGATAACCCCCCCCCCTCTAACCACATCAACATATCCCCCCCCCCACCGACATCCCCCCCTTCTAACCGCATCACCCCCCCCCCCCCCCCCCCCGCCACCATCACCAGCATCACCACCCCCACGGAGATTCTCCCCCCACCACCACCCTCCACCTTTAACCCGCCCATGAGTAATTTCGTCCACATCACTTACCGTCAAAGCAGCCGCCCCTTTCCCTCCCGGCTCATTAGTTTGTTGTAAGATGTAGATAACGAACGAAATAAGGGGCTTTAATGTGCTCCGTGACGTCTATTGCAACATGCAGAGAGAGAGAGAGAGAGAGAGAGAGAGAGAGAGAGAGAGAGAGAGAGAGAGAGAGAGAGAGAGAGAGAGAGAGAGAGAGAGAGAGAGAGAGAGAGAGGCGTGTTGCATATCGCAATATATAAGACTGTGTGTGTATGATTGATTGCAATTCTGTGGTAATAAAATGTCACTTGAAGGCGATTATATAGGTCTATTAATAGCAAATGGTGTATGGTCATAAAAGACAGATAAGTTTGATGTATATTAATGGTTTTGATTTTGATTAAACAGATATATATATTTTTTTATTCTGTATCTCTCATTCTCTTTCTTTGTCACTCCCTGTTTTTTTTTTTTTCGTTTCTCTGATTATCTGATTATTTCTCTTTCTCTTCCTTCTTCCTCCTCTCCATCTCTGTATCTGTGTGTTTATCTCTATGTCTACGTATATGTCCATCTCTGTGTCTGTCTCTATTTCTATTTCTGTCTCTATTTATCTTTCTTTATCTTTATTTTTGTTTGCCTCTCTCTCTCCCTCTCTCCCTCCCCCTCCTCCTCCATCTTCCCCCCTCCCCCTCTCCCTCCCTCTTCCACCATCTTTCCCCCTCCCCCTCTTCCTCCCTCTTCCACCATCTTCCCCCCCTCCCCCTCTTCCTCCCTCTTCCCCCCTCCCCCTCTCCCTCCCTCCTCCTCCCTTTCCACCCTCCTCCTCTTCCTCCCTCCTCCTCCCTCTCCCCCCTCCCCCTCTCCCTCTCCTCAATTACTCCCTTTCCCCCCTCCCCCTCTCCTTCCCCCCTCCCCCTCTCCTTCCCTCCTCCTCCCTCTTCCCCCCCTCCCTCCTCCTCGCTCTTCCCCCCTCCCCCTCTCCCTCCCTCCTCCTCCCTTCCCCCCCTCCTCCCTCTACCTCTCCCCTATCACTCCCTCCCCCTCTCCCCCATTACTCTCTCATTATCTATCAAACTTGTACCGAGATATCGACTGCGTCCCTTACCCTATCGCTTTTTAATTACGTGGTCTATCGAATCCAACTTTTACGAATCCGCAAATGACATCGGGATTATAATCAGCCATTGGACAAAACAGCAGGAATCTTTAGGGCAACAAAGACAACAACAACAACAACAGCAACAACAACAGCAACAACAACATGACAAATTCCATTAATGACTTTCGAATGGATAATCAAGAGCGATCAATATATAAAAAAGATAAACAAAGCGACTTGACAAACATTGTAATGATTGAGGATAGGTATGGAGAGGGAGAGGGAGAGGGAGAGGGGGAGGGGGAGGGGGAGAGGGAGGGAGAGGGGGAGGGAGAGGGAGAGGGAGAGGGAAGAGGAAAGGAAAGGGAAAGGGAAAGGAAAGGGAAAGGGAAAGGTAGAAGGATATGGAGAGGGAAAGGGAGAGGGAGAGGGAGAGAGAAAGGGAGAGGGAAAGGTAGAGGGAGAGGTAAGGAGAGGAGAGGAGAGAGAAGGGAGAGGGAAAGGGAGAGGGAGAGGGAAAGGGAGAAGGAGAGGGAGAGGGAAAGGGAAAGGGAAAGTTAGAGGGAGAAAGAGAGGGAGAGAAAGTGGGTGAGGGAGAGGGAAAGTTAGAGGGAGAGGGAGAGGGAGAGAGAAAGGGAGAGGGAAAGGGAGTGGGAGAGGGAAAGGGAGAGGGAGAGGGAGAGGGAAAGGGAAAGTTAGAGGGAGAGAGAGAGGGAGAGGGAGAGGTAGAGGGAGAGGGAAAGGGAGAGGGAAAGGGAGAGGGAAAGGGAGAGGGAGAGGGAAAGGGAGAGGGAGAGGGAGAGGGAAAGGGAGAGGGAGAGGGAAAGGGAGAGGGAGAGGGAAAGGGAGAGGGAAAGGGAAAGTTAGAGAGAGAGGGAGAGGGAGAGGGAGAGGGAGAGGGAGAGGGAAAGGGAAAGTTAGAGAGAGAGGGAGAGGGAGAGGGAGAGGGAAAGGGAAAGTTAGAGAGAGAGGGAGAGGGAGAGGGAGAGGGAGAGGGAAAGGGAAAGTTAGAGAGAGAGGGAGAGGGAGAGGGAGAGGGAAAGGGAAAGTCAGAAGGAGAGGGAGAGGGAAAGGGAGAGGGAAAGGGAAAGTTAGAAGGAGAGGGAGAGGGAGAGGAGAGGGAGAGGGAAAGGGAGAGGGAAAGGGAAAGTTAGAAGGAGAGGGAGAGGGAGAGGGAGAGGGAAAGGGAAAGTTAAAGAGAGAGGGAGAGGGAGACGGAAAGGGAGACGGAAAGGGAGACGGAAAGGGAGAGGGAAATGGAGAGAAAAAGGGAGAGGGAGAGGGAGAGGGAGAGGGAGAGGGAAAGGGAGAGGGAGAGGAAGAGGGAAAGGGAGAGGAAGAGGGAAAGGGAGAGGGAGAGGAAGAGGGAAAGTGAAAGAAAGGGAGAAAGAGAAGAAGGAGGATGAGGAGAGGAAGAATGAGAAGTAGAAGAAGAAGGAGGAGAGGGAGAGGGAGAGAGAAATAGTAAAAGAAATAGATATAGAAACAGAAACAAACAAAAATAGAAAGAGAAAGTATAATTCTAAAAACTAACCTTTGCGTATTCGGTTTGGTTTTAGTGCAGGATTTTAGGCCAAAATCTCCAATATCTGTAACAGAGAAAATGTTTGAGAAAAT